AAATCCTAACTTAACTATAAAAAAAAAGCCTACAAAAAAGGCTCTAAAAATTTTTAAAAATCGTACATAAAATAGATCCAAATTTCACGATAATCCGATTTCACGATAATCCGTGACAATTATTTTCATTTTGGGCCATTATTTGTAATTATTTTCATTTTTGGGCCCTTATCTGTAAATTCCCCTAAAAATTTTCGCACTACCACTATTATTATAAATGTTGCAAGTATAAAACACTTTCGCTAATACTAATACTATATTTTAATAAATAATTATCACATTTCTCCTAAAAATAAAATACTTAAATAACAAAAAATTAAAACAATACATATTATCTTTACTTTCAACAATCATCGTACTAACGCTAAAAAACACTAGCAACTAAACAACCCGTTAACTACATAATATACGATTTAAATAATCATACCAAACCGATAACGGAAAACAAAACAAAACTAACACACTCAACAGTACATATTAAAATACAGACATTATACCAAATTCATAATCAACTTAACTACAATATACAAATAAAGATCAAACAAAACAATAATTATTCCTCCTTATTAGACGGTTTTACCACATTTCAAATCTCGACAGGCCATAATACTGACATCACACGATGTGACAATTAAAAATTTAAAGTCTGATAATGATTGTTAATGTGATTAGTAATCTTTAAATATTAATCGTCACGTCGGGATTATGGTTTTCGAGATTTTGGATGTCTGGATTTTGTGGTAAAACCTTATTAGACTTATGCGACCTCAAAGCTGCACGCAAAGAACGATCACGCAAAGAACGACTTGCATAATCCTTTCCTTTTTTACTACTACACACAATATTCTCTAAACATTCCTCACTTCCTAACTCTCCTCCAACTTCATTTTCAACAACTTCAATCGAACTATTAGCTTCATCCAACTTTACATAACTACTATCACTATCATCAAAAACATCTATAGATTCATTATCATCTTCAATTCTTGCATGTTTCGAAGTGCCACTCATCGACGATAAATCATTATTCGAAATCGCAGTAGATGAACTCTCAACCTTAGCGATATCCTTAAAGTTTTCATTAACATTACGATGTGTAAAAAGAAGTTTCGACCGAGTCAAATTAACCACTTCAGACGAATTACTCGAATTACCGTCATCCAAAATTTTCTGCTTAAAATGATTAATATCAACGAAATTAATATCCTTTGCATAGATATAAAAATCGTTATCGATAACTTCCAACTGACCAACAACGAAAATAAGCGAATCATGTGGGCGAACTGTACTCTTCAAATGCCCAAGACGCGAATTAGAATGTGGGAAAACAACTTTAACTATAAATTTATGCTACTGAACAACAAAGTCGTTTACTAACACGTTAAAAATCGCATTTTCATCGTTCTCCAATACCTTTGATAATTCCTGAGGAATTCCGATTAAAGAAATTTTCAGTGGACATTTGTTCGACATATCATCATTATTTAAAATTTTCACAACAGTTGAAATCGAAACTGTCATCTAAAAATTCAAAAAAAAAAAAGATAAATATTTTAAATTTTAATTTACATCATTTAATAATCATTACTAATAATTTACAATACCTTTGGCCTTTTTTTACCTCCATAATATCCAGGTATAATCTTACCACCGACAGAATAAAACCCATCCCTCTCAAAAACAGCTTGAGTCTCAGGATCTCTATCACTAACATTAGTTGGTACAAATAAAACCATTTCAATCTCACTATCTTCACGTCCAACTGGATATGAACCGACAGCCCATACGACAATTAAATTACTATCATCCTTTGTCGTATGGCTAACATATTTTACTCTCACAATTGTATCTGCATAACATGGCATAGTGCTGTAAATAAAGTATATGTACACTAAATAGATTGTGAAAAAACATCAAACCTTAATAAATATACTCCTTTTATAAAAATTAACCAAAAAAATTAGAATTCAAAAATAGCTGATGACATAATAATTAAATAAATCTGACGCAATAAATCAATAAGCATTTTACGTCAAAATTACTACATTAATTTACAATCATAGACAAAATTAAAAACAACCATTTCAATTTATTCATTCACAAAACCAATACTAGGTGCCACAAAAATCCAAATTAACAATTTTCCTTTAACACCGCTAACTTTCTAGGGTAGGAGGCACAAAATTTTTTGGACACATTCCTCCTATAATCCTCTGATCACTATATCAAGATCACGGGAGGATTAATTAATAATATCCTGGCCGCATGTGAAAAAGCGGAAACTTCTAATTCCCAACGGATCAGGATATTATTATTACTAATGTCCTGAGCTTGACCCTATACAATCATAGTATTCAATTAAAATTTTATTATTTACCATTCATGTATTTACCATTCATGTAATCAACTTACCAAAAACTACATGACAGATAATTCTGCAATTTTATTCGCTCTTGCTCTTTATAATCATGTAACACAGATGCTCATGAGGCATACTCAAGGCCCTTATGCATCATACCATCTAATATTCACAAATGTATACCAAAAAAATCATTATAAATCAAATTGTCTGAATTTAATAGCTTATACATAAAAATAATTAAAAAATAAAATACTTAAAATTATTAACTGTTATACTTAAATAACTAAATAAGATGGGTGGCGCATTCGCGCCACCCATCGCACTAGTAACCCAATCAATTTTAAGATTTTGCTTTCGGGTTATTCTTCAATAAACTATACATTTGTGCTCTTGGCATGACTTCATTAGGTTCAATGAATAATAATTTAATACACAATGACGTTATTCTCGTGTAACATTCATATTACTTAATAAAGGGATCACTAAAGCTGTTCTCAAGCATCTAAATCAATTGATCATGTAATGATCGTGATGACGCTCAGGCATCACAATTGATGA